AAATTCATTAATATAACATGCAACTTTAGAGTTAATTTGTTCGAATACGACAAAAACATACATAAATCATAAATAAGATATATGAACATAATAAAGACTTAAAGTTAATTTGTTCAACAAAATAATCTTCTTGAAATCCAAACAATTTCAATAATCTTCGTAACATATTCAACTTGCCATTTGTTCTAACATAAATGAACATAAATGAACGGACATAAATGCATGAACATATAAATGAACGTTCACGAACGTAAATGAACGAACAAACCATTTGTTCGTGTTCGTTCATTTACGCAAAATTTTGTTCATGTTCGTTCATTTAATAAATAAACGAATATAAACGAACTTCCCGCCACACGATTTATGAACGATTCGTTGAACATCCAGTTTATTTACAAGCCTAATCTCATGTCAACATTGCAGTCTCAGAAAGCAATATAAAAAGCGGATGGTGAGTTCAGCTAAACTCACCAGCTCCGTAACTGTAGCATCTACCGTTCTTCCCGCCGAGTCAAACACCTCTCTTACAATCGGGAAGCGGATCCACGCCCCTCACACGCGCTCTTTAGCCCCCCTGATCCCAACAGAATAACAAACCCAAAACCCCAAAAAAGTACAAGTTCAAAAATTGAAAATCCCTAAATATCCAAAAATAAAAATAAAAAACCCCCCGAACCCTAGATAATCTCTCGAGAGAGAGGGAGAGAACTGAATTTTTCCACGAGAGAATCTCTAGGTGGAACAGAGAAAGTGCCGCCAATTATGGCGTCGTCGACTTCAAATTCGCGAAATTCGGATCTCTCCCGACGCTTTACTACTTCCTCTACAAAACCCCAACTTTTCACCGATCAAAACAAAAACGACGATAGCAACAGATTGAGCTCGACAATGACGGTCGAAGGTATCCTTCGAAACGTTTACTCGACCGCTCCTTCGACTGAGACGGCTCTGGTTGACGCTTCGATCACTCTAATCGACGCTCCGATTCCAAATAACGTCGTGGATAATTCCGATGCTTCTCAGGTTCAAGGTGTACCGGATTATAATAACAATGTGACAAGAAGTGTTGACGAGGTTTGGAGGGAGATTGTATCAGGAGAGAGGAAAGAGATCGCGATGAAAGAGGAAGCGCCGGACGAGATGATGACTTTGGAGGATTTCTTGGCGAAGGCTGGTGCCGTGGAGGATACGGCGACGGCGGAGGTTAAGTTGCATCCCGATAGGTTGAGTGGTGGAGTGTACACGTTTGATCCGATGGGGTCGGGGTGCGTTACAAATGCTGGATAAGATGGAGGGGTCGATTGTTGGGTTGGGGAACGGGATGGAAGTTATTGGAAGTGGAGGCGCTGGAGGTAGAAGGAAGAGAGGAAGAGGGGTTTTGATGGAGCCATTGGATAAGGCGGCACAACAGCGGCAGAGAAGGATGATTAAAAACAGGGAATCTGCTGCCCGCTCTCGGGAAAGGAAGCAGGTATAAAATTGATTGAATTTTTTTGATTGAATTGTAGAAAAGTTAATGGATTGTTTCTTTTTTTTTAATGTATTTTACTCTGCTATCTTAATTGTAGGCATACCAAGTTGAATTGGAGTCATTGGCTGTGAAGCTGGAAGAGGAGAACGAGTGGCTGTTGAAGGAAAAGGTATTGAATTTTTTTTCATCTTTTAACCTTTCCTTTTATGATTTCAAATCATGATCGGAATGGTTCATTTCCTTATTATTTACTTGCTAAAGGTGGGAAATTTCTTGTATCTCTCAAACACAGTGTATGCCGTTTGCTCTCAATGTAGTTGCTATTGAGTATTGACTTCATCTAGTAGAGACATTAGCGTTTTCTGCCTCAGTGCCTCTGGAAGGATTTTGTTTTAAATGTAGGAGCTTCTGTTTTAGTCAACATTTATTTCCGAACTTCCAAAATTTAATAATAATTATTCTAACTATTTTCTAGCGTTGCTATTTTTAAGTGGCTTGATGCATCTGGCAACAGTAAGTTTCACAGTACTACCTTGGATTCTACCTTTATTTTCTTGCCACCACGTCCATGGACTTTGTTGGATTTGGTTATTATTCACTTTATAATTTCCCAACTACTTGTAATTTATAATCTCATTTTGTGGTGTTTCTTCACTTAGCTGTCTCTTCTTTCAGCTTCATGTGTTATATAGAAAATATTCTTTATTTGCTATGTGTTGCTTTTATAGTCTATGGTTTTTTATAGCGATATATGGGCGCATCCTGCACTGTTTTATGAACTCAAATTTAGAAGCCTTGCATTTTCAAGAACTGAACACGATTAGATTCACCATAAATGCATGTATATGGGTACAGGCTGCTTTAATACTTGGTGATAGAGATAACTTGAATTTGAATTCCCCAGATTTACCAATTTTACCTTGCATATACTCAATTTAGCCAATGACTTGTTGTTGCTTTATTTATTGGGCTATGTTTTGGCTCCGTCTACCATGGTCATTTATATTTCATTTCTTCTAACTTCTCCCTGTCTTAAGATTATTTGAGTTTGTGGTAAGGGACAATTATCAAGCTCTTGCAAAGGTGCATCCATACAAACTTGCATTCATATACCACACTTAAAAATGAAAAATTTATTCAATGCATGCTATTTCTTGTATTTATGCACATTACATAAACCATATTTTACCCAGAGCAAAACATTTCTTGCCCTTGTTATTTCATCTTTTGTATCAGGTGTTAAATCAAGTACTTGGAAGGAAAGTTTTATCTTTATACATCTTGTTTTACGTATGTTTTTGTCTCATGTCCTGGGTCTCAATTCCTAACAGCTTGAATTCCTTTTATCCTTTGTTTCATATTTACAATATTCTAAATTTTGGTACGGTCTTGTAGAGTAAGCTAATGCACATAATTAGTTTTATTTTATGCTTTTCTATTTTCCCATGCTAACTTCCATGCTAATGCATTGCAACGTCTTTCACTTCACTAGATTTTTATTTTGTATATTTTCATCTATAATTGCGATTATTTATGTTTGCAGGCTGAGAGAACTAAGGAAAGGTTTAAGCAGGTACTAAATTGCTGCTTCTATAAGACCATTAAGTTTTAGAGTAATGCTTAATCAGATTCTATGGGATTGATAAGAAAAATAAATAGTTCGATATCAAGTATAGTTAACACACTCTGATAAGAGGAAATTAAAGTAGGAAGGTTTTAAGAATAACCCACTGCATTAAATATATAGGATTATATTGTTAATAGGAAATTAAAGAACTGTGAAATTCTCTCTGTTTTTCATTTCGAACAAGAAACATAATTTGATTTAAATATGTAGATATGTGTAATTATTTATAGTTGAGGAATTTTGTGATTCTGTTGGCGTAATGAGGTACATAGCCTGTATTTTAACCTCATACATAAATTGGCTTTAGTAGTTTTATTTCTCAAACAATACCCAAGTGAGAAATGCAATTATGGATGATAGAGAATACAGCAATTAGCTGTGCCTATTAAGCTCCTAAAAGAGTGCTTCTCATGTTGATTTGTACTTGCAGCTCATGGAGAAGGTGGTTCCAGTTGTAGAGCTGCGAAGAACACCACGTGTACTCCGTAGAGTTCGATCGTTGCAGTGGTAGATAATTATTTACTCGGGATGTGAGTGAGACAGAAAGAAAAATAGCTGATCTGGCATAGAGGAGGAAAGGAGTGGGGTAACAGAAAGGGGCACCATTAAATTTATCTTCTTTTGAGTAGCTATTCCAAAGCTGATGGTAGTCTAGAGCAGTTGCGGTTCTTCATATGTAAACAAACGAAAAGCTAAACCAGAACCATGAACGAAAGATCCCGTATTATTGAGTAGAAGGTTTTGTGGCAAAGCAGTGTACGGAAGAAGGCACTATGCTGGTTTATATATCTATGATTGATTGTTCCTCCTCAGTCGCATGATCAATAAGGAACAAAAGGATTCTAGACTAGTGTACTGTATTTACGTGGTGAAAACTTATGGCAGCAGCCCTTTTGACAAAAATTTAGAACGGTTAGTAATGATTTGTTTATATTATTAGTTAGAGCTCTGCTTTGTGATAACCTTGATGGAAATTATATGCATTAATGATGCAAAGTGCTTGGAAGAAGGTCGTTTATCGATGCTTATTCCGACCTTAGCCTCTTTCAGATGCTCTTTTCTCTATATTATTAGAGGTGGCAATCGAGTACATATTAAGATTGGGTTTTAGGTCACTTCATTTTGCCACCTCTAATTCACAGTCCTCGGAAACAACTCAATAAATTATGAAGATCTTGTTCATGAGCATCTAAGGACTATTTTTTGCATGGAGATATGAAAAGCATTGACCAATTAATAAAGAGTGACAGAAGCCTATACAGTTTCTTTGGGAGTAGGGTAATCTGTGATTATTCATAGCTATTTTCTCAATGTAACGTAAATAAATAAATAAATAAATAACCGAATATGAAATCAACTGAAGTAAAATTAATTGGAATCAAGCTTTATACTTTTTTATTTTTAACGGAAGTGAAATTGATTGATTTAATACAAATTGTCCAATTAAAGGGAAATTAAGAAATGAAATGCAGGATGTAAGTTATCAAAATTAAGAAAATTTTGAAACTATTAAGAAAATTTTGAATTTCATATTAACTTAAAAAAAGCAGTTTGAATTCTCTAACTATACAAGGAAAAAAAGAAAAGTAGAAATGATAATCATAAAACTAATCATTTTAGAATAATAATCCCCATCATTTACCATCTACTATATTTAAACGTAACACAATATAGAATATACGCTGCAATGATCACATCTACATTCTTCTCTCTTTTTTTAAAGAAAAAAGTAAAGTGAAAGAGGTGAGTTTTGTTTTCCACAAACAAAATGATGCCACCTTTCACTGTGTAAAATAATACAAAAGCCACACACAAACACAAGCTCCGATATTATACCTATGATTGTGTCATCCATTGATTCCAAATTCCTCCCCAAAGGACAAACAAGGAATTTAAAGCTCTTCTTGTAAGGCTAAAAATCTGAAAAGAGAGTGAAGAGTTGTTGAACAATGGAGATGTTCATATGCTCCATGTTAATCTTCCTCCACTTCCAATTCTTCATAGGGTCTCAGTCTGCAACAATCATGGTGGATGGCGTTTCACACTGGGAAAATCCCACTGTTCATGTTGGTGACTCACTGAGTAAGTGTTCTTCAAACAATTATAAAATTTTGAGTTTTGGGTTCCCACTTCTTACTGTTTCCCCCCCCCCCCTCAGTTTTCAAGCACAAATATGAGTACAAGCTCTATATTTTCCAGAACAAGAATGCCTTCAATCTCTGCAATTTCACACAAGCTTCCCTTCTCACTAAACATAACTCCACTTCCTATGAGGTAATGCCACTTTCTGTTTTCATCTGCTGCATAAATATGGGTTTTAGACCTAGATTTTTTTTTTACAAGACAACGAGACCTCGTTAAAAACTCTCTCATATCACAATCTAGCTGAGGCTCGATCACGATAACGGAAGGGAAAAAATGTGCCTATAGAGTCTTTATTAATCAGCACCAAATAGCAAGCACAAGGAACGCTTAGGCACTACAAGCTTATCCCCATAGGATCACCTTACATCGACATCATAGTCCAACCAGTCAAGCAGAGAAACGAAATTAGAAAAAATAAAACCTAAAACTTAGTGCCCTCGCACTAGAACAGGTGATAATCTAAGGAAAAACTCTGAACAGCCACAAGAACAACAATCAGATCGCAGCAAGAAAAATAGGTTGTCTAAAGTGGTTCAAGCTTTCAAGATCAGATTAAAGTGGATGGTGCCAGCTCTGAGAATGAGACTCAAAAGACGAAAGGCAAGGCTGAAGCAGCTACCACAACAACGGAAACATACATAAGGACCCAATAACGAACGCCTAACGGATAAAGGAACCAGCAGTTTCCAATAAACCAGGGAACCTTCACCCCAAAGCAGATAGAATGCAGACCGGCCACTCCTCAAAACAGTCAGTGAATCAGCCTCTATATTAATAGCCCTTGGGACAAGGTGAAACACAAACCAGCCCGCTGATAAAGCTCGGACATGGATAGCACATCCCTGTATAAATTCTGTGGAGAGCCAAGAGGATTCAAAATCCACTCCTTAGAGTCTCTTTCCACGATCAATTTAAAATTTGATGGCCAGCAGTTCAGACATAATTGCAGATCCAGCGCCAATACAGTTAGAAAAACAGAAAAGAGTGTGACCTATTTCGTTACCAAGGATTCCACCAATCCCTCCACTCCTTAAACACCCCATCAAACATTTTCTTGGATGATATCTTTTCCGGGTTGATTCCAACTTATATTTTTAAACTATCATCTTAATTTTAAGTCCATCCCTAAACTTTAAAACTTCTATTGAACTTTTAGAGTATCAATATTGTATCAATCAGCTTATTCTCTCAACCTATTCATTTCCTTAAATTAGGGGCGAATAAAATTCAATTCAAAAAAAGCTCAACTCAAATTGATTTCGAGTTATAATTTCATAAACTCGACTTGACTCTAACTTTTTTTAAATTTGAATCGAGTTATAAATTAGAACTCGAATAACTTGAAATTTTTAATAATTAGTGGATTGATTTTAAAGTTTGAGTCGAATCCCTAAACTTTGTATAATATATATGTATATGATTATATAAAACAATTTAAATTAGAATCAAATAGTGTAATAATATTATAAATATATACAATTAAATCTAAACAGAAACTTAAACAACTCAACCCGAATAACTTGAAATCTTTTGACTTGATTTGACTTGACTTGATTGAACGCTCACTCCTAATTTAATGTGAACTCAAACAAAATGTGAAACCTTTTGAAAGTACATGAATCAAATTATAAATATAGTGTATTTATTTGATAAAAAAATATATCTAAAAGAATGAAATAATTTTCCTAAAATTTATTAACATCATAAGTTTTTAGCACTCAATCCAATAAGTGAACATGTGTTTTGTTAAATATGCTTCATTTCAAACTTGAATGGGTATTTAACACTTAAATTAAGTGCTAGATTGATGGAATGAACTAATTGAAAATAATGAGGACTCAACTACAATGTTTCTTAAATTTAACGATAAATTTGAATCCATAATAACAATTTAAGAATGTCTGATGGAATTAACCCATCTTTCTATAATGTAGTTCTGAGTGAGTGTTGGCTAGGGCAGAATTAAAATATTTTGAGATATTAGAGTTGAAAAATCTTATTTTATAATTCAAACTATATTTGAATTATTTTTTAATTTAAGTCGAGTCGAGTTGTTCGAGTTTATATACAAATTTAATTATAAATATTTATGATATTATAGTACTATTTGATTTTATTTTAATATTTTTTCTATAATCCTATGCATTACATATGTTTTTCTTTATATTTTTTATATGTGATATATATATCATAAAGATTAAGGAACTAGACTCAAACTTGAAAATTAATTTACAAACTACAAATTTTTTTATGTTAATCAGGTTTTAGTTTGTAATTCAACTTGAATTTAAAATTTTCTAGTCGAATTAATCTGAATCGAGTGGAAAAATTCTACTTTTCAATTCGAATCGAGTTTTGATTACGCTGATTGTAGTACTAATTTCCTAATAAACTTTTATACAATGTGCAGTGGCACCCTTCTCGCCCTGGAATCTTCTACTTCACTTTTAACAATGGCTCTCTCAAAACATGCCGAGGCTCCCAAAGGCTCTCCATAAAAGTTCATCCGGCAACTATATCACCGGAATTACCTGCAGAAGGTGCTCCGGCACCGACTTCTGGTGGAACAGTGGTGTCATCTTTGTCCCATGCATATCCATGGCCGTTCAGGCCTCGCCAGGCTGTTTCACCGGCACCAAGTGCTGCCTCACCGGTTGCAGTACCGAGTCTAGTGCCGGATAAAGGCGGTGATGAGAGCGTCCCTTTTATCAGCAGTAACCCAGCAGTTCCATTGCCGACCGGTGAAGTTGACTCTACCACTATTCGACCTTTGCCCACCTCAGGACAGGTACATTTTGTTTCTCTCGGTGCACCTTTTAAATGCTTAGCTAAAGTTTAAGGGTTAATTACACACACATCCTCAAACTATGGCTTAGGTTTTAAATTACTTCATTTGTTTAATTCAGTCAGTCAAATGTTAATATCGTATCTATTAGGTCACCTAATAGTCTAACCAATGTTTTTAAAATCGGACCGGACCTTAAATCGGTGAAGGTACTGGTTCAACCGTGGTTCAATCGGGTTATATAAAATAATGGTTTTTTAAAATTTTACATAATATTCAAAGCAATATTAATATATATATATATAACACTCTTTTTGAGTTTACATTATTAAAAGGTATAAAAATATCACAAGTCATAACATATATAAGTTAAATACCATAAAATCAAGTGAAACAAAATGATTCAAATCAACTATAACATAATATTTAAGGCCAATACCTAAGGAAATTCATCAACAACTAAATAAAAAAAAGTACATAATTGATACAAGTATCAATCATCATAATATTCATTGAAATCGATTCCCTCAAATTCCAAAATATTGGGAAAAACTTCTTCATTAGTTGAAGTGTTGAACTACCACCGCCATCACCACTTTGAACTTGAAACTCCATAGCATCACTTTGAACTTGAAAGTCCACAACATCAAGATCTTCATCACTTAGCAATATGATAAATAAATACTAAGTTAAATTTAAATTCTCAAACAATACTTAACAATTAAAAGTAAAAGTGTAAAACATGTTAAATAATAAAATATAATTATATAACTAAAATCAGAAAATAAATTTGGGGCTGAAAAAAATCATAACAAACGATGTCGTTTGGTTTAATTAAAAAAAAACAGAACCGACGGTTTACACTGGTTTTCCCGGTTCCCAGTCGGTTCCCACCAGTTTTCCCGGTTCCCAACCGGCTCGTTAGCGGTTCATTGCAAAACTGGTTTTAGAGACTGATCGGACCGGACAGGCAACCGGTTCCCGGTTCAATCAGTCGAACCAGCCGGTCCGGTCCAGTTTTAATAGCATTGAGTCTAACAGTAAGTTTAGGTATTAAATATTCATAAGTAAAATATATGTAGATAAAATTTAACGTATGTACGGTTTGCACTGGACAATATGAGTATAATACGTTAAAGAAAAGAAATTAAGTTTTAATGCCAATGGGTGTTGATACAAGTGGTTGAGATTTAAGAATTTGAACTTGTAAAACGAAGTTTGAATCCTATTATTATCATTTTTTGTTATCAATATGTAAATTTCAATTTAAATCCCAATTGGAATTTAAGTATACTCTGACCTTAAACTGGGGGAGTCACCCCTAAACTAAACTTTTAAAACAACAAAATTATACTAAGTTTTAATGAATTTTTTTAATATATTAAATTTTAAGTGTTCATATAATAAATATAAATGTTTAAAATTTAATTTAAACATTTTATGTTAAGTTTGAGCTGATATTTAATAGTCACGTTTAAAATTTAATCTAAATATTTTATGTTAAATTTAAATTAATATTTAATGTTCATATTTAAAATTTAATATAAATATTTTATGTTAAATTTGAATTGATATTTAATGCTCAATGTTAGATTAATGAAAGGATATGATTATTACTATATTAATACTCATACAAATCAAGTGGCCTCCATGAGAAAAAAATTATTTTTCTTTGAGGACCGGGGTTCAAGCACCATAATTGTTATGGGTGTGAAATTTCAATGTCAAAAAGCTTGAGAGTTATCTTTGAACATATATTACCTTGTATTTACCTCATATTAATAAAAAAATACTTTGAAAATTAGTCAAAATTTTGAAATTTAGAACTCAATTTAAAATTTTGGCTAGATGATTGGAGGATGGCTAGTACAATTAACCCAAGGTTTTAAAAAGTAATTGAGTTAATCACGTAAGAGATTTTCAAACTATGACCCAATTTTAAATTGGTTCTATAATTTTAAAATATTTTATATCAACCCTCAAATCATTACCATCATTCCAATTTGGTCCTTAAATTTAAAAGTGTTCTATAGCAATCCTCAAACTACCAACACCATTCTATTGTAATCCTTATGTTAACATATTGTCAGTTCTAATAGTTAAAAAATTCAATTTTTTTAAGGTCCTCAAAATTGAACCCATAAACTCTTTGACCATTTAAAAATAAGTTAAATTTTTAAGATCTTGAATTTTTTTAGGTCACATGTTCAATTCCTATGAACTTTAAAAACATATTATTTTTTAATCAGTAGAGTTAGCGACACATTAACGAAAGGATCAAAATAGAATGATATTTATAGTTTGAGGACTGGTGAAGAATGTTTGAAATTTAGAGACTAATTTAGAATGAAAACGTGATTTGAGGTTTGATATAGAATGTGCTAAAATTTAAGGCCATTTATATATATTAAGAAAAATATTTTTTTCTTTATATGATTTTATAATGTAATTTTAATCCGATTCAAATTATAACCTTTTTTTAAAGCCATAAGTGTAATACTTGGCATCTCTATTACCAAGTTGATGGGAGTGATTGAATTGCAGGCAGTGGTTGGGATCCTAACAGCTCCAATGGCTCTATTTTCTATGGCTTTCCTAGCTTTGTAAAACAAAAGAAAATGGTTTCGATAAAAAAAATATAATTAGTAATTTAGTAGTAGAATTGAGTTAATTTGAGTGATTGTAGGCTAAAAAGTAGCTTTAATATTTTATGATTCTTATTGTGAAGGTTTTGTATTGTGAAATGGAGACCCCACTTCGGCAATCATTGCCACTTCGGGTCATTTACTTTTGATTACTTCTACTTCTACTTTATTTCCCCCTATATATCTCTTTCCATACCTTTTCTTTCATCTTCAAAAGATTCAATCTTTCTTTATCATTACATGTTTTTTAGATAATAATTAGTAAATAATAAAATAATCCCTAACACTAAAATTTGAGTAAATTTTTATTTTCAACACTAAAGTTTTAAAAGTAATAAAATAATCCCTAACACTATCATTTTGTACCAAATTGATTGCTCTACCATTAACCATAATTAGTTGAGTCATGAAAATATGGTGTGGCAATTAGGGAAGCTGACTTGGCACCCTTTAACCATGTTGGAATACTTTGACCGGTCTTTTGAGTCACTTTTAATAAAAAAAAATACTTTTTCTAAGTTTATCTTTTTCTTCCTTGGGGGATTTTAATGGGATTTTGACAGCTGTAGAATTCTTCTTTGGCATTCATTTCTTCCCCACCCTAAATCCTTTTATTCTAAATTCATTTTACAATAGAATATTTATAAATCAATACTCGATATGTTTTTTTTTAAATAATAATTCTTTTGATCTCGACTTGAAACCAAAATCTAAATAATAAGATAATAATGTTAGCAGCATGTAAAATACTGATTATCTTATACACCAAAAATAATGGCATACTTGAGACCAATGTTCACGAGCACGTTTACCAGAAGCGCAACCAACATAACACCGAAAGAATTGGCTTAGTGGTAATTTAAAAAAAAAAAAAAGTTAGGTCATCAAAACATATTACTCAAATAGTTAAACGATTAAATATGTAGTTTACTCTTACTTTTCCTTTTAATAGAGTTAATGATTTTGAACAAATAATGTAAAAATTTATACTTCAAAAAATAAAATATTTAAAAATATACTTTAAGAAGTAACTCAATAAAAATATATAATTTGGGAGAAATAATGCATTTAGGCCTAAAATAAAATACGTTTTCAGTTATGAAAATATACCTTAGTATTTCTTTCCATGAGAATAATTTTCAAGGAATGAGATCAGAAATGATGGTAAAATTGTTGTTTTCTTAAAATAGAACACGTTAGCATTCGCTTGTAAATAAATAAATAACTAGAAATAAAATAAATTTATTTTATCATAATAAAATCATTATTGTTTGTAATCGTAAAATGAACATAATCTAATAATTAATATAATATTTTCGAGGGGAGGTTATCATTTCATAGAGGCAGGAGCGGAGTAAAATCATCTGAGAGATATTTATTTACTCCTAAAATCTCTCTATTATTGTATAAACTAAATAATTTCAGTGGTTAAAAAGATAAGTGTTATTTTAAAAGTTTTGAATTTAAATATTATCAACAATTGCGACAAGGCGTTTATTATTAAATAATTAAAAATATTTAAAATAAATACTATTTTATAATATCCTTGACTTAATAAAAAATCTCAATTATTTAATTTTGAGGAGTAATTTTGGTTATTCTTTGCATTATACAATAAGAAAAACTTGTCAAATTATTAGAAAAATGTTCAGATATTAAAATATATCATATTTCTCACTAAATCAAATTTTAAAATTATTTTTCATGAAACAAATGGGTGGACTTATAGTTTTAGATAATAAAATAGTTATCTAATCTTACACTTTATTACTTTTAAAAATAATATTTATACTAACTATTAAAAGTTATCTCCATTTGCTTTAATTATCTGGCGTCTAAGTAATGTAATTGAAATTTATTAGAGAAATAATCAATGTTTTTAAATTGTGGTTGGGATGATTTAGATAAATACTTCATGTTATTTATATTTTGTAACTTTTTCAGATTTCATTTCATTGAGAAAATTGTATATACTTGTGTAGCATTTATAATCGTATTATTTATTCAAGTTATAATTTTATTTACAAGGCTATATTTTTTTAAATTTAATATTATCGCAATTGTATTTTGGGTGGGCCCGAAATTGGACTTTGACTTAAATAAAACACGTTAGAGCCCCCACCAATCATTTTAAAAACAATATAGCATTTATAACCGTATTATTTATTCAAGTTATAATTTTATTTACTAGGCTATATTTATTTAAATTTAATATTGTCGCAACCGTATTTCGGGTGGGTCTGAAATTGGACTTCGACTTAAATAAAACACGTTAGAGCCGCCACCGATCATTTTAAAAACAATATTTAGGTTGATCGGACATCATCTTACCTGATATGTGTTTTACCAGAAACATGTCGGGTTCGGGAGTCGGTTGCAGTCAATGAAGGATTAGCACCCTTGAACTGCCCTTTCGGTACTGTTTTAATTTGTCGGTTGTCTTAATTGCGAAAATTAAAATTTAAAGAATCGATTCAAATTACTTACCTTTGATTGATTAAAATGCCCCTAAAAAGGCCATAAGATCTATTAAATCATGAAATAATAGGACAACACAAAAAATGTTAAAATAAATAAAAGAATTAAATACAACAATATTTAAAGTAAAAGAGATAAAATAGAATGAAATTAAATAAAATTAGGAAAATATAAAAAAATAAAATTTGAAAAGAACAAAAAAGAAATATTAAAAGGAAGTAAAATGTAAAAAAAACACCTAAAAATAAACAAATAAAAACAATAGGGGACCGAATTGAATTAATTATATCTTTATGGCTTGAATTAATATTAGAAGTTGATCTGTCAAAGAAAACAAAAAGTTAGGGGATTAAATCATAAAATATGATAAATATAACGAAGAATCAAGTTGAAATAATTGACAATTCGGAGGCAAAATTGAAAAAGGTGACCAAAATGAGTTACACTTTAAAACTTAAGGGACGACGGAAAGGATTTAACAATCCCTTAATTACACAAAGGCCACTGGTATGTAAATACCCAAAAAACCAATTCCCCTTTCATTTTCCCATTCCCCTCCACATTACTTTCCCATTTCTCTCTCGATATCCACTCAAATGATCCCCACTGGTCGAATACTGACCAACCTCCGATGAAGCCATTCGTTGCCGAGCATCGTACCGGCCACCGACCCCGGTGACTGGAATCCTAAACCCCTACCCGGAATGCTTATCTCGCCACCCCATGCCAAAATTGAGCCCCAAATCCTCTAAATATCCCCTAAACGACGTAGATCTAACTTGAAAGATTCAAATTTTACCTTTTTCTGGCAAGTCTCTACGATTTTCGGTGACCTTTCGTTTTCTACGACCGTGCTTTCCTCTGTGCAGTCCCGAAACCGAATCCTTGATGTTTTTTGTGATTTCCTCGCTATTTCGAATGCTTTTTCTGATTCATTTTTGTTGTTTCAACTACTTGTTTCTGCTTTGTTTGGTGTTCGATGTTTCTGGTGATCTTGGTTCGTGCTTTGATTTTCAAGTGATGTTTTTCTGTGTCCTTTGATCTCTCCCCGACGAGGCTTTTATAGCCTTCGATCGGTCGTTTGGGTTCCGATGATCTTGGGGTTATCCCTGATCTTTTCGGGGCTATTTCTTGACCCGTTCATGTTCTATTGAGGTCGACGTTGGGCCCGAAATCCCGGGATGGTTCAGTCTTGGGCGTTTGACCGACGATCTCGGCCAACTCGCTGGCGCATGGCTTCCACGCGCATGACTGTTTTCTTCCTTTGCGGTGCCCCTGATTGAATGTAAAACCCTAATCCTTTGGACTGGGTCAGGCCCACTCGAGCTTGGGCCTTACCGGGTTTGCGGGGTCAGGCTTACCCGATTGGGCTCTTTGTTGAACCATTGGTGGACTGTTGGATTTATTGGACCTAAAAAATAAAAAAATAAACAATAAACAAAATAATATAATATAATATAATATAATATAATATAATATAATATAATATAATATAATATAATATAATATAATATAATATATAATATAATATAATATAATATAATATATAATATAATATAATATAATATAATATAATATAATATAATATAATATAATATAATATAATATAATATAATATAATATAATATAATATAATATAATATAATATAATATAATATAATATAATATAATATAATATAATATAATATAATATAATATAATATAATATAATATAATATAATATAATATAATATAATATAATATAATATAATATAATATAATTATAATAATAAAATTATATGTTTCAAAAATCATTTTTTAGAGAAAAAAATACTATATTTTATATATTTTTTCAAAATTCGAAAAATGTTTTCCAAAACTATATATTATATACGTTTTCAAAAAATGTTTTCAAAACTATATATAATATATTATATACATGTTTTCAAAATGTTTTCAACAACTATATATTATCTTAATATATATACTAGATAAGCCCCGGACGAAAATGGGTGTCTACAGCTACCCCTCTTTGTCCATTTTTTGTGTAACGAAAAATAGGACAAAGATAAAAGGACACAAATTTTCGTTCGGTATGTAGGGGTCCCTAAGTATAATATCCTCCCTTGTGGAGTTAAAAATTGACTATGATATTGCAATTAGGAATAACTCCCTATTAAATTGAGTTGCGGGTGACTCATTCGTCACGAAGTTGAGTCAGTCTTGAAATGATATCCTTCTTCATAAAATTGAAATCATAGTTAAGAATTTAAATCAGAATGTGGCTTCTTGTTGCCAAATCATAGTCAACGTTGGTCTTCTTCTCGGTTTAAAGACCTCGGTTTGAAAATTTGACCGGAAAGTAGTTCCTCGATGCTACCATGTGGTTGATATGCCCTCGAGCTGAATGGAATCAAACTCGAAGGTTTTTGTTGACAGATAGTCTTTCTCACCTTGAGCTATGCTGTAAATTTGACTGGGATATAGTTCCTTGTTGCTAAATCACAACCAACCTAAGTATTCTTC